GGAGGAAAAATCGATTTCGTCGCAACCTCAAGAAAAACGAACGCAAATACATAGAGCGGGAGGGGCGGACCTTTGCCGACGCTGCCGGAGCAGCGCACACACAGCGCGCGGTCGAAAGGGGCGGTGTTGCCGTCGCGCAGAAAGCGCTGGTAGAAAGGGAGCAGGAGTTGATCGAAAGTAGACAGCGCGAGGCGGCGAGCGCCGCTGGGTGCAGCATTGCTCAGGCGCGTTCTATGTGATTTGATTGGCTCGAGCGATTTTCCATCTGGAAGATCCAGGTCACTGTTTGAAAATTTTTCCTACAGGAAATTTGACCGATTGGCACCCCTAACAGTACACCTTTGTCGTGTATCGCTGCTGTGGATCGCATATAGGCCCTCCTCATTTGCATCTACATCCATCAGACACACGCAAGAACAGAAGACACTATGCGAGCACGATTGCCATACGTAGTTTCCACATGTATACGTGAGGCTCCTCTCCATGCATGTCAAAGGGCATGGGCATTTTTTCGTGCTGCGCAAAGTAGAAGTAGCGATTGCGCATATCGGAGTGGTACCGCAGAGGTTCAATCGGGAGCTATCGGCCATGCTGCACTACAGACTTCGTGGGTCCTTTCGAAGTTGCACACTCGTCTGTCCCACGACCAACACTCGCACCGACGGCACCTAGACGACCATGAAGGTCATACGCGACGACACAGGGCTTGTGCCGCCGTTGATAGCTGCTTTCCCCCATCTCTTTGAGTTGCATATGCCCGTGGTGCATTCCGGGTGCTGTGCTGGCAACTTTCCTAACCTTGTGTTCCGTCCGCCGTTCACACAACGTACGACGATCGGACACCCCAATTTCCACAAAAATGTTTTTCGAACCTCTTTTTCCAGGCCCGAACTTCGAAAAAATCACACAGGTATGAGGGCTTACGCCGGGGAAAAACGTGGGGCCCTCAAATCGTGAACCCCGACTTCGCTTCTATCATTTTCGCAACAATTTCGTCAGCGTTTCTGCTTGCTCTGCCCCTCGCAGCCCACAAGCTATCCCACGCATTCTGAGTTGCACATACCCGTGGTGCATTCCCAGTTCGGTGCTGGCAACTTTTCCGAACCCTATGTTCCGTCCGCCGTGCACACAACGAATGATGATCGGACACCGGAAATTCCACAAAAAAAATTCGAACCCCTTCTTCCAGGCCCGAACTCCGAAACCTTCACACGGATATGTGGGATTACGCCGAGGAAAGTTTTGTACAGATCTTGTATCGGACGTGGGGCCTTTGCATCGTGCACCCCAACTTCGCCTCTATTTTTTCGGAACAATTTCGTCAGCGTGTCTGCTTGCCCTGCCTCTCGAAGCCCACCAGCCATCCCACGCATTTTGGGGCGGGCCAATCATCTCCCTAGTTTTTCGTATGCGTAGGAAAACGCCGAGTCTTATGATTCTTCGGATATGTTACTCCTAGATTCGTGTTTGGAAGGATCAACGTTGTGGGAGTCGAAGAGGGGTTGAGACTTTTTGCTTGTCCTACTAAACCGCAGATCTGTTCGTTTTCAGGTGGTTGTTGCCCAACGGCGGGAGTAGGGGTCATACGTTACCACTGGGCGAGCTGTGCGCTCTCGTCGCTGCCCCAAGAAAATCCTTCACCGTAAGGTGGTGCACTTGCGGAATTGCCCAAAACGTATGTATGTAGCTTGGAGACTGGTCAGGTTGGAGGCAAACTTTCCATCCTGTTCCGGCCCATACATGGAATCGACCTCACCGCAATCGGGGTCGGGGTGAAAATGAACCAACCCGAACCCTGTGCTGCCCGCCAAACGTATAAAGCACACCCTTCTCAGGAGGGCACGGGGATTGCAATCCCATACACCTATGCTAATAAATCACGATAAGGCGAAATCCTGGGGGAGGGGGGGGGGGGGGGGG